AGAAACCAGAGAGAGAGACTAGAGAGAAACCAGAGAGAGAGAGACTAGAGAGAAACCAGAGAAAGAGAGACTTGAGAGAAACCAGAGAGAGAGAGACTAGAGAGAAACCAGAAAGAGAGACTTGAGAGAAACCAGAGAGAGAGACTTGAGAGAAACCAGAGAGAGAGACTAGAGAGAAACCGGAGAGAGAGAGACTAGAGAGAAACCAGAGAGAGAGAGACTAGAGAGAAACCAGAGAGAGAGAGACTTGAGAGAAACCAGAGAGAGAGACTAGAGAGAAACCAGAGAGAGAGACTAGAGAGAAACCAGAGAGAGAGACTAGAGAGAAACCAGAGAGAGAGACTAGAGAGAGACCAGAGAGACCAGAGAGAGACCAGAGAGAGACCAGAGAGAGCAGAGAGAGACCAGAGAGAGCAGAGAGAGACCAGAGAGAGACCAGAGAGAGACCAGAGAGAGCAGAGAGAGACCAGAGAGAGCAGAGAGAGACCAGAGAGAGACCAGAGAGAGAGACTAGAGAGAGACCAGAGAGAGCAGAGAGAGACCAGAGAGAGAGACTAGAGAGAGAGCAGAGAGAGACCAGAGAGAGCAGAGAGAGACCAGAGAGAGACCAGAGAGAGACCAGAGAGAGCAGAGAGAGACCAGAGAGAGAGACTAGAGAGAGAGACTAGAGAGAGACCAGAGAGAGAGACTAGAGAGAGACCAGAGAGAGCAGAGAGAGACCAGAGAGAGACCAGAGAGAGCAGAGAGAGAGAGAGAGACCAGAGAGAGCAGAGAGAGACCAGAGAGAGAGACTAGAGAGAGAGACTAGAGAGAGACCAGAGAGAGAGACTAGAGAGAGACCAGAGAGAGCAGAGAGAGACCAGAGAGAGACCAGAGAGAGCAGAGAGAGACCAGAGAGAGAGACTAGAGAGAGACCAGAGAGAGAGACTAGAGAGAGACCAGAGAGAGAGACCAGAGAGAGAGACCAGAGAGAGACCAGAGAGAGAGACTAGAGAGAGAGCAGAGAGAGACCAGAGAGAGACCAGAGAGAGAGACTTGAGAGAGAGCAGAGAGAGAGACCAGAGAGAGACCAGAGAGAGACCAGAGAGAGAGACCAGAGAGAGACTAGAGAGAGACCAGAGAGAGACCAGAGAGAGACCAGAGAGAAAGACTAGAGAGAGAGACTAGAGAGAGACCAGAGAGAGAGACCAGAGAGAGACTAGAGAGAGACCAGAGAGAGACCAGAGAGAGAGACTAGAGAGAGACCAGAGAGAGACTAGAGAGAGACCAGAGAGAGACCAGAGAGAGACCAGAGAGAGAGACTAGAGAGAGACCAGAGAGAGAGACTAGAGAGAGACTAGAGAGAGACCAGAGAGAGACTAGAGAGAGACCAGAGAGAGACCAGAGAGAGACCAGAGAGAGAGACTAGAGAGAGACCAGAGAGAGACCAGAGAGAGAGACTAGAGAGAGACCAGAGAGAGACCAGAGAGAGAGACTAGAGAGAGACCAGAGAGAGAGACCAGAGAGAGACTAGAGAGAGACCAGAGAGAGACCAGAAAGAGACCAGAGAGAGAGACTAGAGAGAGACCAGAGAGAGAGACTAGAGAGAGACTAGAGAGAGACCAGAGAGAGAGACTAGAGAGAGAGCAGAGAGAGAGACCAGAGAGAGAGACCAGAGAGAGACTAGAGAGAGACCAGAGAGACAGACCAGAGAGAGACCAGAGAGAGACCAGAGAGAGAGACTAGAGAGAGACCAGAGAGAGAGACTAGAGAGAGACCAGAGAGAGACTAGAGAGAGACTAGAGAGAGACCAGAGAGAGAGACTAGAGAGAGAGCAGAGAGAGAGACCAGAGAGAGAGACCAGAGAGAGACTAGAGAGATACCAGAGAGAGACCAGAGAGAGAGACCAGAGAGAGACCAGAGAGAGAGATCAGAGAGAGACCAGAGAGAGACCAGAGAGAGACTAGAGAGAGACCAGAGAGAGAGAGCAGAGAGAGAGACCAGAGAGAGAGACCAGAGAGAGACTAGAGAGAGACCAGAGAGACACCAGAGAGAGACTAGAGAGAGACCAGAGAGAGAGAGCAGAGAGAGAGACCAGAGAGAGAGACCAGAGAGAGACTAGAGAGAGACCAGAGAGAGAGACCAGAGAGAGAGACCAGAGAGAGAGCAGAGAGAGCAGAGAGAGACCAGAGAGAGAGACCAGAGAGAGAGCAGAGAGAGCAGAGAGAGACCAGAGAGACACCAGAGAGAGCAGAGAGAGACCAGAGAGACACCAGAGAGAGACTAGAGAGAGACCAGAGAGAGACTAGAGAGAGACCAGAGAGAGACCAGAGAGAGAGAGCAGAGAGAGCAGAGAGAGACCAGAGAGACACCAGAGAGAGCAGAGAGAGACCAGAGAGACACCAGAGAGAGACTAGAGAGAGACCAGAGAGAGACCAGAGAGAGACCAGAGAGAGAGACCAGAGAGAGAGACCAGAGAGAGACCAGAGAGAGACCAGAGAGAGAGAGCAGAGAGAGACCAGAGAGAGACCAGAGAGAGACCAGAGAGAGACCAGAGAGAGACCAGAGAGACACCAGAGAGAGCAGAGAGAGACCAGAGAGACACCAGAGAGAGACTAGAGAGAGACCAGAGAGAGACCAGAGAGAGACCAGAGAGAGAGACCAGAGAGAGAGACCAGAGAGAGACCAGAGAGAGACCAGAGAGAGAGAGCAGAGAGAGACCAGAGAGAGAGAGCAGAGAGAGCAGAGAGAGCAGGCCTGACCTCTCCATCACCCGGCTCCTTCCTCTTCTGATTGGCCGTTGCTTAATAATCTATGACAGGATTGCTCTGAACTAATAAAGCGTGTGAGATATTATCCAGAGGCCGCGTTTTTACAGAGTACTTACTGCTCCCAGTGTTAATTAGAGTAAGATTAGCTTTTCTGTTATGAAAAGCACGTTATCGTTAGCATGTTATCGTTAGCATGTTATCGTTAGCATGTTATCGTTAGCATGTTATCGTTAGCATGTTATCGTTAGCATGTTATCGTTAGCATGTTATCGTTAGCATGTTATTGTTAGCATGTTATCGTTAGCATGTTATTGTTAGCACGTTATCGTTAGCATGTTATCGTTAGCATGTTATCGTTAGCATGTTATCGTTAGCACGTTATCGTTAGCACGTTATCGTTAGCACGTTATCGTTAGCATGTTATCGTTAGCATGTTATCGTTAGCATGTTATCGTTAGCATGTTATCGTTAGCACGTTATCGTTAGCACGTTATCGTTAGCACGTTATCGTTAGCACGTTATCGTTAGCACGTTATCGTTAGCATGTTATCGTTAGCATGTTATCGTTAGCATGTTATCGTTAGCATGTTATCGTTAGCATGTTATCGTTAGCATGTTATCGTTAGCACGTTATTGTTAGCATGTTATCGTTAGCATGTTATCGTTAGCATGTTATCGTTAGCATGTTATCGTTAGCACGTTATCGTTAGCACGTTATCGTTAGCATGTTATCGTTAGCATGTTATCGTTAGCATGTTATCGTTAGCATGTTATCGTTAGCATGTTATCGTTAGCATGTTATCGTTAGCATGTTATCGTTAGCATGTTATCGTTAGCATGTTATCGTTAGCATGTTATCGTTAGCATGTTATCGTTAGCATGTTATCGTTAGCATGATATCGTTAGCATGTTATCGTTAGCATGTTATCGTTAGCATGTTATCGTTAGCATGTTATTGTTAGCATGTTATTGTTAGCATGTTATCGTTAGCATGTTATCGTTAGCATGTTATTGTTAGCATGTTATCGTTAGCATGTTATCGTTAGCATGTTATCGTTAGCATGTTATCGTTAGCATGTTATCGTTAGCATGTTATTGTTAGCATGTTATTGTTAGCATGTTATCGTTAGCATGTTATCGTTAGCATGTTATTGTTAGCATGTTATCGTTAGCATGTTATCGTTAGCATGTTATCGTTAGCATGTTATCGTTAGCATGTTATCGTTAGCATGTTATCGTTAGCATGTTATCGTTAGCATGTTATTGTTAGCATGTTATCGTTAGCATGTTATCGTTAGCATGTTATCGTTAGCATGTTATCGTTAGCACGTTATCGTTAGCACGTTATTGTTAGCATGTTATCGTTAGCATGTTATCGTTAGCATGTTATCGTTAGCATGTTATCGTTAGCACGTTATCGTTAGCACGTTATCGTTAGCATGTTATCGTTAGCATGTTATCGTTAGCATGTTATCGTTAGCATGTTATCGTTAGCATGTTATCGTTAGCATGTTATCGTTAGCATGTTATCGTTAGCATGTTATCGTTAGCATGTTATCGTTAGCATGTTATCGTTAGCATGTTATTGTTAGCATGTTATCGTTAGCATGTTATCGTTAGCATGTTATCGTTAGCATGTTATCGTTAGCATGTTATCGTTAGCATGTTATCGTTAGCATGTTATCGTTAGCATGATATCGTTAGCATGTTATCGTTAGCATGTTATCGTTAGCATGTTATCGTTAGCATGTTATCGTTAGCATGTTATTGTTAGCATGTTATCGTTAGCATGTTATCGTTAGCATGTTATTGTTAGCATGTTATCGTTAGCATGTTATCGTTAGCATGTTATCGTTAGCATGTTATCGTTAGCATGTTATCGTTAGCATGTTATTGTTAGCATGTTATTGTTAGCATGTTATCGTTAGCATGTTATTGTTAGCATGTTATTGTTAGCATGTTATCGTTAGCATGTTATCGTTAGCATGTTATCGTTAGCATGTTATCGTTAGCATGTTATCGTTAGCATGTTATCGTTAGCATGTTATCGTTAGCATGTTATCGTTAGCATGTTATTGTTAGCATGTTATTGTTAGCATGTTATTGTTAGCATGTTATTGTTAGCATGTTATTGTTAGCATGTTATCGTTAGCATGTTATTGTTAGCATGTTATTGTTAGCATGTTATCGTTAGCATGTTATCGTTAGCATGTTATTGTTGGTGCACACGGAGAAGACGAGGACAGCCATTCAATACGTTGTCTGCACAGTACCTCTCGGAAAGATCTGCAGCGGGTCGGGAAGCAGGCCGCTGTGCCTCTGCTCCGCCATGGTGTGGCAGTACTGTGAGAGAGCACACAGAGGAGAGAGAACTGTTACACTGTGAGAGAGCACACAGAGGAGAGAACTGTTACACTGTGAGAGAGCACACAGAGGAGAGAGAACTGTTACACTGTGAGAGAGCACACAGAGGAGAGAACTGTTACACTGTGAGAGAGCACACAGAGGAGAGAGAACTGTTACACTGTGAGAGAGCACACAGAGGAGAGAGAACTGTTACACTGTGAGAGAGCACACAGAGGAGAGAGAACTGTTACACTGTGAGAGAGCACACAGAGGAGAGAGAACTGTTACACTGTGAGAGAGCACACAGAGGAGAGAGAACTGTTACACTGTGAGAGAGCACACAGAGGAGAGAGAACTGTTACAATCTGAGGAAAGAGAGCAGAGAGAGAGACCAAAGAGAGACCAGAGAGAGACAAGAGAGAGACCAGAGAGAGAGACCAGAGAGAGAGACCAGAGAGAGACCAGAGAGAGAGCAGAGAGAGACCAGAGAGAGACCAGAGAGAGACCAGAGAGAGACCAGAGAGAGACCAGAGAGAGACCAGAGAGAGAGACCAGAGAGAGACCAGAGAGAGACCAGAGAGAGACCAGAGAGAGAGACCAGAGAGAGACCAGAGAGAGACCAGAGAGAGACCAGAGAGAGACCAGAGAGAGACCAGAGAGAGACCAGAGAGAGAGCAGAGAGAGACCAGAGAGAGACCAGAGAGAGACCAGAGAGAGAGACCAGAGAGAGAGACCAGAGAGAGACCAGAGAGAGAGCAGAGAGAGACCAGAGAGAGACCAGAGAGAGACCAGAGAGAGACCAGAGAGAGACCAGAGAGAGAGACCAGAGAGAGACCAGAGAGAGACCAGAGAGAGACCAGAGAGAGAGACCAGAGAGAGACAAGAGGGAGACCAGAGAGAGACCAGAGAGAGACCAGAGAGAGACCAGAGAGAGACCAGAGAGAGAGCAGAGAGAGACCAGAGAGAGACCAGAGAGAGAGACCAGAGAGAGACCAGAGAGAGACCAGAGAGAGACCAGAGAGAGACCAGAGAGACCAGAGAGAGAGACCAGAGAGAGCAGAGAGAGACCAGAGAGAGACCAGAGAGAGACCAGAGAGAGAGACCAGAGAGAGACCAGAGAGAGACCAGAGAGAGACCAGAGAGAGACCAGTACTGTGGACGAGAGGGAGAGCAGTAACAAGAGAAAGAATTATTACAAGCAACAGCTAACGGCTAACTGCTAACATCTACTTACTAACGGCTAACTGCTAACTGCTAACTGCTAACTGCTAACTGCTAACATCTACTTACTAACGGCTAACTGCTAACTGCTAACAGCTACCTGCTAACTGCTAACAGCTACCTGCTAACTGCTAACTGCTAACATCTACTTACTAACGGCTAACTGCTAACTGCTAACAGCTACCTGCTAACGGCTAACTGCTAACGACTATCTGCTAACACCTAACGGCTAATGGCCACTAACCGATAATCCAAACCAAAAATGTCTTTCGGTTAAAATTAAATTTTTTGTTAAAGGTAGAACTCGTCACATTTCATAAATAAAAGATCACAGAAAGTCACAGTTTGTAAAAACCCACAGACCAGCACAGACCAGCACAGACCAGCACGGACCAGCACAGACCAGCACGGACCAGCACGGACCAGCACGGACCAGCACGGACCAGCACGGACCAGCACGGACCAGCACGGACCAGCACGGACCAGCACGGACCAGCACGGACCAGCACGGACCAGCACGGACCAGCACGGACCAGCACAGACCAGCACAGACCAGCACAGACACACAGCCGCACACAGCCGCACACAGCCGCACACAGCAGCACACAGCCGCACACAGAAGCACACAGCCGCACACAGCAGCACACAGCAGCACACAGCCGCACACAGCAGCACACAGCCGCACACAGCAGCACACACCGCACACAGCCGCACACAGCAGCACACAGCAGCACACACCGCACACAGCCGCACACAGCAGCACACAGCAGCACACAGCCGCACACAGCAGCACACAGCCGCACACAGCAGCACACAGCAGCACACAGCAGCACACAGAAGCACACAGCAGCACACAGAAGCACACAGCCGCACACAGCAGCACACAGCAGCACACAGCCGCACACAGCAGCACACAGCCGCACACAGCCGCACACAGCAGCACACAGAAGCACACAGCCGCACACAGCAGCACACAGCCGCACACAGCCGCACACAGCAGCACATAGCCGCACACAGCAGCACACAGAAGCACACAGCAGCACACAGCAGCACACAGCCGCACACAGCCGCACACAGCCGCACACAGCAGCACACAGAAGCACACAGCCGCACACAGCAGCACACAGCAGCACACAGCCGCACACAGCAGCACACAGCCGCACACAGCCGCACACAGCCGCACACAGCAGCACACAGAAGCACACAGCCGCACACAGCAGCACACAGCCGCACACAGCAGCACACAGCAGCACACAGCAGCACACAGAAGCACACAGCAGCACACAGCAGCACACAGCCGCACACAGCCGCACACAGCAGCACACAGAAGCACACAGCCGCACACAGCAGCACACAGCAGCACACAGCCGCACACAGCAGCACACAGCCGCACACAGCCGCACACAGCAGCACACAGAAGCACACAGCCGCACACAGCAGCACACAGCCGCACACAGCCGCACACAGCCGCACACAGCCGCACACAGCAGCACACAGAAGCACACAGCCGCACACAGCAGCACACAGCCGCACACAGCCGCACACAGCAGCACACAGCCGCACACAGCAGCACACAGCAGCACACAGCCGCACACAGCCGCACACAGCCGCACACAGCAGCACACAGCCGCACACAGAAGCACACAGCAGCACACAGCAGCACACAGCCGCACACAGCCGCACACAGCAGCACACAGCCGCACACAGCAGCACACAGAAGCACACAGCAGCACACAGCAGCACACAGCAGCACACAGCCGCACACAGCCGCACACAGCCGCACACAGCAGCACACAGCCGCACACAGCAGCACACAGCAGCACACAGCAGCACACAGCCGCACACAGCCGCACACAGCAGCACACAGAAGCACACAGCAGCACACAGCCGCACACAGCAGCACACAGCCGCACACAGCAGCACACAGCCGCACACAGCAGCACACACCGCACACAGCCGCACACTCCGCACACAGCCGCACACAGCAGCACACAGCAGCACACAGCAGCACACAGCAGCACATAGCCGCACACAGCAGCACACAGCACACAGCAGCACACAGCAGCACACAGCCGCACACAGCCGCACACAGCCGCACACAGCAGCACACAGAAGCACACAGCCGCACACAGCAGTCAAACTGACGGCTGTGTTAAGGTCACGGCGAGGTCATGTCTGTTGCTTGGACGAGACACTTTATCACATGTGTCCACATTGATAAACAGTGTCTCTGCTCCGTGTGGACCCATGTCTGTGTGATTTTCTAATCTGTGATGGAGAACCGACAGTCCTCACAGGTAAATACTGCAGTGATTTAGTGCGACAGGAGGTGGAGCCGTATCCAAAGCTTCATGAGTTGAACTGACGCAGGATTAATGCGCCGCTCCTGAACCTGTGCATGCGGCGCTGAGAGCTGCAGAAGGCGGCCCGCGGCTGCTGCGGCTGCTGCGGCTGCTGCGGCCTCACACACACACACACACACAGGGGGCCTCACACACACACACACACACACACACAGGGGGCCTCACACACATACACACTCACACACACACACACACACTCACACACAGGGGGCCTCACACACACACACACACACCAGTGGCGGCTGGTGGAATTTTCTACTGGGGGGGCTATGAATATGATGACTAGATATATACCAGCAGGGTAGGGATGCTTTCTGATCCCTACCCTGTAGCTTTCATCCAGCTGGGATGAAATATTTATCTTCCCAAACATAGCTAATTTGAGGGCATTTTGCATGTGGATACCAGTCTGCTCATGCTTCTTTGCCTTTTCTAAAAAGTGCTTCAGATCAGTCATACCTGTCTTGATCCATGCTGGGTCAGATCCTGATGTTTGAAACAAGAGGCATGGAAAGCAAAATAAAGCATTAGCCTCGCTACATGCTGCTAGCCAAGATTTGGCGCTGAACCAGGTCCTGGAAAAAGTACGAGTACCGTCTCCCCTGTCGCTGGACTGCTGACCAATGGTAATATTTGGCTGATCACGTCCAAGCTCTTTAACCTCAACCTTCTCCTGGTATGATCTTCTCTCAAACGGTATTGTTTTGAGTGATCTAACTGAATTATTCTTTTTCTCGTTCTCCATTTTGCGTCTCTTTACGTTCGTCTCAAACTCCCACAGCTTGACCTGTCAATCACTGTAAACGGACGTCACAGACAGTGACAGTACAGGTCGCGGGCGATCCCGCCCCCTCAGGGCGCACTTCTCCTGCGCCCCCAAATCGTCTTATCTCTTGCATTGAAGAGGAGCTACTGCGCATGTACAACTTTTAACGAGAGTCCATAGACGGCTCAGGGCGCAAAAGATTGCGCCCTGAGGCGGAAATACGTCCTCAGTCCGACACAGACAACGCTGATGAGCTTAATCAATCCAACTCAGCATAAACTATAAAGTATTTCTTCCACATCTGAAATAAAACACACATACATTTCGAAATATTTTAATGTTATTATTTTTTTTAACGTTTTATTCAAGGTAACATGGCAAGTTGTGAGTGGTGGGGCGGCGCCCTAGCGCCCTCTATTGGCCGGCCGCCACTGACACACACACACACACACACGCTGCTCTTCTCACCATCTGTTACAGTGTGAGCTCAGGCTGTTTACTCTGGAGTCTGTGGAGGCTCAGAGTCAACATCAAACCTGTGTTTACTGCGCCCTCTGCACCAGCGCCGCATGCACCAGCGCCGCATGCACCAGCGCCGCATGCACCAGCGACGCATGTGCATCTACCTACCTACCTAAGTATCTATC